CCTCTTGGGGTTTCTTGGGGCTCTTTGGGCCTCCTGTGGGGCCTCTTGGGACGGAGAGCTCGACAAGTTTGTTCGAGTTCCTCCTGTTGGGCCCCTCATGGGCCGCCTGTGGGCTCTCTTGGGCAATATTGGGGCCTTTTTGGCGGCCTCTTGGGGCGTCTTGGGGCGATCTTGGAGCCTTCTTGGGCCGTCTTGGAGCCCTTTTGGGCCGACTTGGGGCCCACTTGGGTCGTATTGGAGCCCTCTTGGCGGCCTCTTGGGCCGCCCCGTCCGTCTTCGGATAAAACCGGGCCGATTCTAGGCTGTTTTGGGTCCGTTTGGGGGCCCAGGTGGGGCTCCGAATCTTCCAAAATGGACCCCAGAGCGCGCCCCAAACCAGCGTCCAAATTTGAAAGATGAGAAATACCCCAGACGAGCCCGACAGGCAGATGTAAGAAGCGTCGGGTTCACCCCCGGGGAAACGAAAACCGTGCACAAAACAATCGTAATTGCGATATTTTTTGACATTGCATCTTTTCGGCGAAAGCGGGCCGCAAAGGCGCTCTCGAGGGCCCCGGGGGCAGAATCTGGAGGCCAGGAAGGGGCCCCGACGGGGCTGAAACGGCGCCAAAACGCGGCCTGGAGGCTCCCTCATAGCGATGTGAAAATCGAGCTCGTTTTGGACACCGACTTGGAGGCGTCTTGGGGATCGAAGAGGGGCTTGGGCGCAGCTGGGCGGCGGAACGGCGGAGGCCTCCGGGGGGGGACCCAGGGGGGTATTAAAGCGTTGCAGGGAGCTCTCGCAGTTGAATCTCACACGCCCCTCGGCCCCGTGGGCGGGCGGATGCGAGAGGATTGCGCCATTCCGCGGACCCCCATACCAGTAGCAGCGAGTTCGTCAGAAGCCGTGTCGCCGTGCCTGGCCTGTGGGTCGGGGGCCCCTGGGATGCATACGTGGGTCTCCCAGGAGGCTTCTCAGGGGCCTCTTGGAGGGCTCCTGGGGGCATCTGATTGGTTTTGGGGTCCTCTCGGGGGCCTCTTGGGGGCCGCTTGGGTGGATAGGGTCCGAGCTTCTGGAAAACCATTTTCGCAAGTGCGGAAATGTTTTTTTTGGGGCCCCCAAGTGGATGAGGGATCCCCCAAAAATGATTGGGGGGTGAGGGCGGAGGAGACCCCCAACTATTTTTGGGGCCCTCGAGGCGGCGCAACGAGGACCATACGATGCCCCATGGGCCACATGAGCCCAATGAACCTCGTGAGTCGGTGCTTCCTTTCTCCCCCCATCCTCCTTATCATCATGCTTCGCCATTCTCCTCCTCCTCCTCCTCCCCCGAATGCTCCCCTTTCTCCTCCTCGTCTTCATTATCATCACCACCATCATCATATTCGTAATTATCGGGCCACAGGCATGGCCAAACTCAAGCGGCGCCCCGCGTCCGCCGCATCCAGCGGCGGGGGGCGGAGGGGGCGGAAGCCCTAAAGCCCCATAGGGCCAACGGCGGCGGGCGGAAGGGGCATAAGCCCTAAAGCCCGAAAAGGCCAGCGGCGGGGAGCGGAGGGGGCGGAAGCCCTAAAGCCCCATAGGGCCAGCGGCGGGGCGCTGAGGGGGCGGAAGCCCTAAAGCACCATGGGGCCAGCGGCGGGGGGCAGAGGGGGCGGAAACCCTGGAGTGCCCCATGGGGTCAACGGCGGAGGCGGCGAGGGCGGAAGCCCTAAAGCCCCATAGGGTCAGCGGCGGGCGGCAGGGGGGCGGCGGGGGCAGAAGCCCTAAAGCCCCGCGGCGGGGGGCGGAATGCCTCCGGCCCAAAGGGTCGTTTGGTCTCCCAAGACGCCTTGGGCGAAGGCGTCTTGGAGATCTTATGGGGGACTGCGGGGATCTTTCAGGCGAAGGAAGGCACGCGTTTCGAGTCGGATACCCCTTGGGCCTGGTTATCCGTGCGATGCTTGGTGCTGAGGGCTCCTTACTACATCCATCCATCCATCCATCCGTCCATCCATCCATCCATCCATCCATCCATCCATCAATCTATCCATGCATGCATGCATGCATGCATACATACATGCATACAGACATACAAACACACACGTACATACACACATGCATGCATACATATATACAGCCACAACTATATACATGCATACTTACCTGCATACCAGCACACATTGATGCTTTCATACAACCATGCATACACACACGTACATACATGCATGTATGCATACAACCATACACACACACCATGCATTCATACCCACATAGCCACACATACGCGCGCACACACATGCATACAACATACATACATACGTACACACATACGTAAACACATACGTACATACATACATCCATACAAACATACATACACACATACATGCACACCTACATACATATATACATACACACATACATACATACATACATACATCCATCCATCCATCCATCCATCCATCCATCCATCCATGCATATACATTTCATCTATCTATATGTATGTAAGACGCGCACGCACGTGCATACACAGTCATACTTACCTTCCCACCTACAAGCACACACAAATGCATGCATACATGCATACACACCATGCACACATACATAACACCATACACATATACTTACACACACCCATCCATACACACATACATACATACGTTCGTACGCACACACACATACATACATTATACACACAGACACACATGCATCCATCCATCCATCCATACATACATACATACATACACACACACACACTTACATACATACATACATACATGCACACACACATACGTACGTACGTGCGTACACACATGCATACACGCATACATACAAACATACATATATACACATACATGCATACATCCACACACATACACATACATACACATACACACATACATACACACATACACACATACATACATACATCCATACATACTTACATACATACATCCATACACACATACATACATACATACATACATACATACATACATACATACATACATACATACATACATACATACGTACGTACGTACGTACGTACGTACAACCATACATACATATATACATACATGCACGCACGCATGCATGCATGCATGCATACATACGTATATACACACATACACACATACATGCATGCACACAACCATGCACACATACATGCACACATACATACATACGTGAATACATACATACACACATTCATTCATTCATTCATTCATTCATTCATTCATTCATACATACATACATACATACATACATACATACATACATGTATTCATTCATTCATTCATGCATACATGCATTCATTCATTCATTCATTCATTCATTCATATGTATATACGAGGCCTCATGGGGCCTCAGTGGGGCCTGATGGGCTCATGAGCTCATGGGTCAGGGGTCATTGGGGCCTTTTGGGGCCTTTTGGGGCGTCAGTGGGGCTTCATGGGGCCTCATGGGGGCCTCTTGCTCGTGTGGGCCTCTTGGGGTCTCACGGGCATGGGCACGGCGGCCTCTTGCTTCTTGGGGCCTCATGGGAGCAAGCGTTTTTGCCAATGACCTCGCGGTCTCACCCGCCGCCGTCTCCACCGCGGTGACCAAGAGCGCACCCGCCCCCCCCGCCCCTGCCTCGGCGTCGTGCAGGGCCGGGGCCTCGTGCAGGGCTGGGGCCAGCAGCATGGCCTGGAGGTGGGGCCCCTGACAACAGCAACGCCACAAGCGGGTGGGGGGTAACGCATGCGGGCTGTAGCATTGGGGCCGTCTGTGGAGCACCCTATGAGGCCACGAAGCGTTGTACTGGTTGGGGGGGTGACGCATGGGGGGGGTAGTGCTGGGATCTTCGGTGGAGTTCTCTATGGGGCCACGAAGCGCTGCACTGGGTGGAGGGGACGCGTGCGGGCGGTAGCACTCGGACCTTCGGTGGAGGACGCATGCGGGCGGTAGCCTTTGGGCCGTCGGTGGAGCTCCCTATGGGACCACGAAACGCTGTACTGGGTCTAGCGGAGGCATGCGGGCGATATTACTGGGACCTTCGGTGAAGCTCCCTGTGGGGCAGCGAAACGCTGTACTGGTTGTGGCTGACGCATGCGGGCGGTAACACTGGGACTTTCGGTGGGGCTCCCTATGGGGTGGATCTCCCTATGGGCCAACGAAGCGCTGCACTGGGTGTGGCGGACGCATGCGGGCGGTTGCACTGGGACTTTCGGTGGAACTCCACGAAACGCTGTACTCGGTGCGGCGGACGCATGCGGGCGGTATTACTGGGACTTTCGGTGGAACTCCACGAAACGCTGTACTCGGTGCGGCGGACGCATGCGGGCGGTATTACTGGGACCTTCGGTGGAGCTCCCTGTGGGGCCACGAAGCGCGTGAAGGGTGTGCAGAAATGTTGGCCATGCGGATAGCAGAGGCACGGACGGGAGCAGGGGGGAGGGAGGGGGAGGATGACGGAGTGAACGCGGGGCGCTGTCTCTTCAAAACGAGGGCCCAGCACCACAAGATGGTTGGAAACAACTCGACGATAAAGGCCGCATTACTTTTCCGGGGCATCATCATCAGCATCATTTTCGTCATCATCATCACAACCATCATAGGCATCACCATTATCATCATCAGCATCAGCATCTTCACCACTACCAGCACCACCATCAGCATCAGCATATCATTATCAATATCACCATCACCACCCCCATCGTCACCATCGCCACCGTCACCACCATCACCATCACCATCACCATCACCATCGCAAGTACCATCACCATCACCATCACCGATTTCGTCACCATCACCATCGTCACCATCGTCACCATCGTTACCATCGTCACCATCGTCACCATCAGCATCACCATCAGCATCACCATCAGCATCACCATCAGCATCACCATCAGCATGAGTATCAGCATCAGCATCAGCATCAACATCAATATCAACATTACTATCGACAGCATCAGCATCGGCACCAGCAGCAGCATCAGCACCAGCCTCAGCACCGCCATCTGCATCAGCAGGGCCCCCTTTGGCACTGCCTCAGGAGAGCGGCCCGTGCCTCCGCGGCCGGCGCGCCAGCCAGACGCTGGGAAGCCCGCTGCTGGAGGACCCGCCGCCAGAGTGGGTCCCCGCCGCGCGCCCGCCCGCCTGGCCGGACCTCGGAGGAGGAAAAGGGTGCCGACGCCGCCCCGGGGTTACCGTAGCCCCTTCGATCGTGCCGATCCCGCACGCCCCTGGACAGGTCATACGTCTCCTGCAGGTCGCGTCGAAGAGTCGTCCGGGGGACTTCCCTGGGGGCAGTCTTGCATCCAGGGCCCGTTCCGTTTCTGACGGTCTCGGGGCCCGAACAGGGCCCCTGGAGTCCAGAAGCGAGAAGACCGAAGGCGAGGAAAGCAAGCAACTCGACGATCAAAGCTGCATCATTTTCCAGGGCAGGTCAGGACCCATACGTACGGCGCTCAATGTTTTCGATGTGTGGACCCCCAGAGGTCGGGACAACCTGTCCAGGATCGGTCTTTCATCCCGAGTAGTTTTTTGGCGGTCCTGGAGCCGTGGAGGGACCCCGGAGGGCGAAGATAGCAAAAGAAACGGACGCTCTCATTACTTCGGAGCCTCGTGTTTCTGGGTACATCCCGTTCTGGGGGGTAAATCGATCAGCGGGGCCAATGCCACTGCCAGCGTGGATGGAGGAGGAGGAGGAGGAGGAGGAGGAGGAGGAGGAGGAGGAGGAGGAGGAGGAGGAGGAGGAGGAGGAGGAGGAGGAGGAGGAGCGAGGAGAAGCGAGGTCTCCTCAGGACACTCCCGCCGGGGGGCCGGCGGCAGCGGAGGGCTGCCCGGTTCTGCACGGCGGTCGCGCGGGCCAGGGTAGCCCGCTGCTCGAGGACGGGGGCCAGGAATAGCGGCGTTGGAGCCGGCTGTGGGTCTGAGGTGGCCCAGTGTTGGTTCCGGCCAGCAGGAAGGGGTGGGCGAGGTTCGAGGTTCTGGGGTGGAGAACGTTTTTTGGGGCTTTTTTCGGTCTCCACAGACAGTGTTTTCGGCCTCCATGGACCGTTCATTTCAAGCACGCAACGTTCTGCTGAGTTTTTGGAGGGGGAATCCATCGGGCCCCGGGACCGTGACAAACGGATCCGAGGTGAACAAGTACGCTGGGTGGGTTTGGGGACCGATTTTGGCTTCACCCCCTCTCCTGACAGACTCACTGGGTCCCAACCAGTTAGGACCACCTGGCCGCCTCCACTGCTCGCTCTCGACGACCGACGCTCGATCCTTGCCCCTGCATCGAAGGCGACCAGATGTTCCAAGTTGCTCGTGTCCCCGTCAGCTTGGTATCCGATCGACGCCGCGTTGGCGACGATGAAGAGTGGGACGGCCAATTCGAAGGCAACACTGTGGAAGTACCTCGCCGCGGCGGCACCCACGCGGCTGCGCTTGTGGTGCGAGTGGTCGCAGCATAAGCATGAAGTTTCCAAGCTCCGCGCTGTTTTTTGTTTGTTTGTTTGTTTTTTATTTGCGTTGAGGCCCCCTGGCGGCGCCTCAAAGTCGCCGCCCCTGGCGCGCTCTGCGCGCCAGTGTGCGCCAGACTGGCTGGGGGTGGGTTGCGTTCGGCCCTCTTCCGTGAGCGCTGGTCCTTCCTTACTTTTCCTCCTCGTCCTCCTTCTCCTTCTCCTCCTCCTCCTCCTCTCCCTCTTCCTCATCATTTTCATCATCGTGTTCCTCTTCATTCTCTTCGCCCCTCTCCTGGCCATCTCTGGAGATTAACGTAACATTTTTCCGCGAAAGGGACTCCAGCCCCGTGGCAACTTGAACATGCGGCGGGAAGTACTCAGCGTGGTTTCTTAAACCATCCGGGTATGCTCCAGCGCCCTGCTTTACAAGCGGCATCGCGGTGGTTCTCTATCGGAGACGCCTACGGCGAATCACTACCGCCCCCTGCCTTTGTGGAAGCGTCTGTGTGGCCGAACGTTGTGCGAGAGCTATCGGACCATGTCTTCCCGCAGCTGTCGTTGAAACCTATCGTAGAACACGTTAGGAAGGGGATCATGAGGATAATGATGACCAGAGATTAGGAGGAGGAGCAGGAGGAGGAGGATGAGGGGGAGGAAGAGGAGGAGGAGATGCAGGAGGAGGACGACTCTTGAGCTCCAAGACGGCCCGAGACGAGCCCCGGAGGGCCCCGCAAGATTCCCCAGATAATCTCAAGAAGGCCACAGGAGGCCACAGGAGGTCCCCCAGTGGCGCTGAATCCCCTCCCCTGGCGGCGCCTCCGGCGCCGCCCCTTGCGCGCCCCGCGCGCCAGGGGAGGGGGTCCCAGCGCTTATCTAAGAAGCCTGCGCGGACCTTCGAACGCTTGTGCCCGTGCCCACATCTGAGCGGCGGAGCACACGGGGGCCGACTGCGCGGGCATTCGCGCGTAAGCTTCCCGCGCAAGGTCGCGCATGCGGGCCCTCTTATCCTCCCGGTGTGCCACGCTGGCGGCCCGGGTAAGCCGCGGCCTAAGGTTGCTGTGTCCTCTCGCGTAAGACTTGGAGGCGGCCGGGGGTCTGAATTGGACGGCCCCCCCGAAAATCCGTCAGGAAAAAGGCTGTGAGGGCAAATCTGCTATAAATCCGTCCTGGGACCCCTCCCAGGGTCCATCTAGTTTAGCTTTTCACTGCAGATCCGTTTTTCAGTCCTGGGGCCCGACAGCGGCCTCCCCGGAGGCCGACGGAAGCAACAGCTTGTCCGAACCCAGATTTTCGAGCCTGCCCGCCCTTCCTGCTGGCCGGAGCCAGTGCCGGGCCACCTCGGACCCCCAGCCGGCTCCAGCGCGAGGCCCGCCGCTGCCTTCTCGTTGCTCCTCTTAGGAGACCACATGCGAACCCTGCCCCTACCCCCCGCGATTTCTGAGGGGGAGGGTTCGCATGTGGCCCCCTACCTCTTGCTCCCCCGGAGGAGTGGCGCACGGGGCCCTGCCACGAGACCCTGAAGGTGCCGCGGAGGCTCCTGTTCTCCACCCCCGAGCGGGACCCGTGCGAGCCCCCCGCGCCCGAGGTCGGAGGGCACCAGCCGCACGCGCACGGGAGGTTGGCGTCGTGTCGACCAGCGGCGACCCTGCCGCCGGCGTTTCGACGTTGAACGCCGCCGGCGACCTAGATGCGGGCAATATTTATATCCATATCCAGTGCGTCTTGGACTTTCTTGGAAGGGGCGCCGCAAGGCCGATGCGCACTGGATATGGATTAAAAATTAGCCTTTTGGAGGCAGATTATAATCCATATCCAGTGCGCCTCATGTTTCTTGGGAAGAGTGTCCGAGACTCCAAGACGCACTGGATGTGGATAAAGACATTGCCCGCACTAGAAGCAACCGGTCGATGTTGAACGATCTGACGTTTTGGACATCGGTCGGTCGTTCAAGGTTGAACGATCCCCGCGGCGTCAGGAACCAACGTCGAAGTCGGCATTACACGAGCCTGCCGTGCACCGATCCTGGCCAGGTCGATCCTGGCTCAGGATCAGTGCATATGCCTTCCTGTCCAAACCAGGAGGGCGTATGCACCGATGCTGGGCCCAGGACGCAGACATACGGCCGCATCCAATTTTTCGATGTGTGGGCCCTTGGAGGTCTGGACACGATCCCCAGGGCCAGTTTCTCGTCCTGAATCGTTTTTCGAGGCGCGGCGAGGGCCCCCGGAGGCCACAAACGGACCCAAACACCCCGCCGCTCCAAATGTGTCGGAGCCTCGGATTTCCTGCTTCCTGCCCAAGCCAGGAGGGCGTATGCTGCGATCCTGGACCCAGGACGAGCCTGGCCAGGATCGGTGTACGGTAATTAGGTCTGCGCCGCGTTGACGCTGCGGCGACGCCAGCGTGGGCATGCCAGGTTGAACGCCGCCACAGTGGCCCAGAACCGGCCGAAGGCGTCAGAAACCAACGCCCGCGACATCGTGACGCGAACCAGCCGTGGGTGTGTAGCTGGCCGTCCTCCCGCGAGGGCACCTCTAGCCCGCGCCCGGTCGCCCGCCCGGCCTGCTCGCCCGCGGAGCGGCGGAGCTCGGTGCGTTGGCCCTCGAGGCTGGCGGAGTCCCAGGAGCAGGGGCAACGTTATGGGGGATGGGCTCCTCCTCTCTCTTTCTCTCTCCTCCTCCTTCTCCTCCTTCTCCTCCTCTTCCTCCGCCTCTCCTCTGGGCCAGGGGCAACGGCCCTCGCGGCTGGCGGAGTCCCAGGATCAGGGGCAACATTAGGGGGGCATAGGCTCAGGGAGGGGGGGGACTTCTCGGAGTCAAGGTCTGAGGCTTTCGTGTGTTTTCGCCAGTTCTGTGCAGTTTTTCAGCCTCGGCATTCCCTCCAGCAGCTGCGCCTCGCCGAGGGCGTTCCGGGAATGCCCGGATCATCCCGATCGGCCGCCCCAGAGCCGAGCGATGCCACGAGAGTCACCCGAGGCAGCGTTTTTGGGGGGATAACGGACGGGCTCGGGGGGGATGCCTCGACCCCGATCGCGCATGGACTCCAGATGCGGACCCGATAGCCCCGCCCCGCCCGCCCAGGAGTTTGCTGATCCGCCATCGGGGGCCCATCGCCGATCCATCTGCGATGTGTCGCCGATTCCAGGTCGATGTTCCCCCCCCCCCCCCACCCTTCCCGTACTCCCGTCCTGTTCCCCCTCTTCGTGTTCCGGGCCGATGCCGGGCACTGCCTTCTCGCTGCTCCCCACAGGAGCCGGCCGAGGCGCCGCACGCGCCCGGCAGCGTCGCGGGCATGCTGGCGCGCGTGATCGAGACACAGGCCGAGGGAGAAAAGAGCGGCAAGAGCTCAGACGTGCCCGCGCTGTGGCAAGAAGCAGGACGGGGGTTCTTTGTCTGCTTTTCGACCCTCGGGGGCCCTCGTGGGGCCCCTGGACAGTGAAAAACACATCGGGGGAAAGATCCAGCCCTGCGGGAAGGGTCCCGTCGGAACTTCGGGGGCAGCGTACTGGCAGAGGAGGGGCATATGGACCGCCGCCACCGAGGCCAGGGAATTGGGCCCCCTGCCGGTAGGTTTTCTCGGTGACGGTGGGACGGTGGCTCATGTCTCTTCCCCGAGTATTGTCAGGCGTTCGCAAACATGGATTCAGGGGGCGTGGATTAGCGACGGGTCCCGTTTCCATGGACAGACAGACAGACAGACAGACAGAGGCCCGGTCAAACCACATGGGTTGGCCCGTAGACGGGCGAGGCTCCAGCACAGTGGCCTAAGCGCACACGTGCGTAAACGGAGAGCAAACGTTGTGCCTCCGAGGGGGGAGGGGGGAGGAAAGAAAAGAACGGGGGCGGTCCTCACTCGTGAATGCAATACTCGACGAATGCGTCCTCGTCACCATCGTGTATACTGTCATACCAGCGAGATACATTATGCAAGACATCGCGGGCGAATCCTTGGAGGCGGTCGTCCCATCTCGTCGGAGGGCGCCCGCGCGCCCTCGTAGCCCCATGCGTGTAGCCACAGTATGGAACCCGTTTCCATGGGTAGTCGCGAATTTCTGCCGCCGAGCGAGACGGCACCGGCCGCAGTCTGTGGAGGGCACTTCCCCCGATCCATGGGTGAGGCGACCGCGCGCCAAGTCCATGGATCGCTAGTCCATGTCTGCGCGCCCCCGGTATTGAGCAAATCAGGCCATCGCATGTCTGGGTATGAGCATCGGCGTTTGACCCCCCTACCTGGCGCGCGGAGCGCACCAGGGGCGCCGCAGGGGGGGGGGGAGGGGCCCAGCGCAGAAGAAATCTGCGTTGGCCACCGGCGGCGGGCAGTCCGCGCTGGGGCCCCCTCCCGGCTGCGCGCTCCGCGCGCCAGGCAGGGGCGGTGCAGCGCCAATCCGAGAAGTTCTTGCGCGGATGTCCAAGAGTTTCTGCTTGTGCTGTTTTCTCTTCCCCCAGCAGGAGCGGCAGGAGGCCATGCTCCAGAACCAGTCGAGGCTCGGCATCGCTTCACCGATCCCCGTACCCACTGCGCCATGGCATTCCAGCCCCGCAAGCCCACCCCCAAGGCGGGGATGGGCCCTGGGGGGTGACGGTCAGTGTTGCCAACTCAGACATCCAGCGCTGCAATTTTTTCAATGTGTGAACCCCCAGAGGTCTGGACAACTCCGCTACGGCCAGATTTTCATCCTGAGTAGTTTTGTGACGCTCCCGCGGTCTGGCAAGGGCCCCAGGAGGCCGAAAACAGCCGAAAACCAGCCGCTCCATTTTTTCGGAGGCTCAGAGATTTGGATGCATCCCCATCTGGGTGGGTGAATCGCCAATGCCATGCCAGTGGGGATGGGGGTAGGAGGAGGAGGAGGAGGAGGAGGAGGAGGAGGAGGAGGAGGAGGAGGAGGAGGAGGAGGAGGAGGAGGAGGAGGAGGAGGAGGAGGAGGAGGAGGCGGAGGCGGAGGCGGAGGGAGGAGGAGATGATGAGGAGGAGGAGGAAGGAGGCAGGAGGAGGATGCAGAAGAAGGTATGAGGAGGACAAGCTAGGTGCCTCGCGCCATAAATTCTGACGTCCTACCCTCCCTCCCATCCCTTACCAAATGAGGCGCTGATTTCTCTATCCGCGGACGCTGTCGTAGCGGACCTGGTGGCACCGTCGCCCGCGCCGTGCGGTAACTAGTGGGTGGTGTGCGTGCGTAGCGTGCGTGCGTGTGTGCGTGGTTGTGGTGGTGGTGGTGGTGGTGGTGGTGGTGGTGGTGGTGGTGGTGGTGGTGCTGGTGGTGGTGTTGGTGCTGGTGCTGGTGCTGGTGCTGGTGCTGGTGCTGGTGCTGGTGCTGGTGCTGGAGCTGGTGGTGGTGGTGGTGGTGGTGGTGGCGGTGGTGGCGGTGGTGGTGCGGCGCGGTGGTGGCGGGCGGATGGGCGCGCGAGAAAGAGGCCCGCGCTGGGGCGAGAACGCCATCCTCAACGACGGAGGCCAAACACCGAACCGAAAATGAGGCCCACGCTGCAGCGGGAGCACGATTCGGAACGATTCGGGAGCAGAAATGAGGCCGGCGCCTCAGCGAGAGCAGCATTTTTGAAAAAAACACAAGCGAAAACCCAACTCCGGGGAATCCTGTGTGTAAAAAAACAGTACGCGGGGGGGTGCCGAATATCTTCCGGACGCCATCAGGGGAAGTGGGAGAGTATTTTCATATTGTGTAATTGTGGAGGAGGAGAGGA